CTCCCCGGGTATTTATGCAAGGAGGAGGCGAAACGAGCGGGCGATGAAATCGGGGAGATTTCCCCCCAATCTGGCGCGGTTAACCACGAGCCGAGTTCACCGGCCCACGCGCCCACGTCTCCAGCATTAAATGCAAGGACGGTTACGTCCCATCCACCACGCCACACTCGGCCACTACGGCAGCAGGTACCGTTTCGACTCCCAATAAAACTGCCTCAAAAGGCGCGCCGCTCGCGGCCGAGCCAATAGGGAAAATATTTCCCGCGGCCTGTTCCTTTCATAGGAAGGAACCGGGCTCTGAGCCTATTACGATCCAGGGGTTCGAAGGCTGGACCCCAAAAGGGTTTCGACAGCTGCCCCAGGATAACAGAGTCAGGGGCGACTGCGGGTGAGCCTATTCGGGGCCGAGACCCAAGCAAGCGAAACGCTTGGGATGCCCAAAGTCGTGTCCGAGACCGGCAGGAAAGTATCCGAATGGGATCCCACCGTAGGGAGGCACCGAGCCACCGAGGCCCAACGAACGGCCTCGGCACCCACTAGAGAAATCCTCTGGTACTCTTGGAGTGTGTCTCTAGACCGCTAGCCGTCCCCTAACGAACGGGGTTCGGGCCTCCACTCGGACTACCCGATAACAACTCACTCACCGGAAGTGCCACCGCTGTGCCCATCGAGGGTAGCGAGGCACATTCCACCCCTCCTTCTAAGCGAAAAGAAAGCGCGAGGTCGCATAAAAAGTCGGGGAACCCCGATGGCCTTCTCGCCCTATCACGAGGCTAGGGGCTCCTCCCGCAAATATGCCGAGACCCCACGACCCGGGCTCGTGCCCAAAGGGGCCTCGACAAACAAACCCTCACGCGAGGGGCGTATAAAAAAGTCGGGGAACTCCCGACGGCCCTCTCGCTCTGCAGCAGAGGCTAGGGGCTCTTCTGCGACCTTGCCGAGACCGTAATGGGCTCGACAAACAAACCCACGCGCGGGGCGTATAAAAAGTCGAGAGAACTCCCGATGGCCCTCTCGCTCTGCAAGCAGAGGCTAGGGGCTCTTCCCGCAACCTTGCCGAGACCAGAATGGGCCTCGAAAGCAAACCTCCGTCCAAACGAAAAGGATATGTGAGGGCGAATGAAAAGTCGGGAGACCCCGACCGTCCTCTTGCCCAGGCGGAGGCTCTCGGGGGCTCTCTTGCACCCAAAACCAAGACAAAACACGATAAAGGGCACCAAGCCCGTTACGGTCCAGGGGTTCGAAGGCTGGGCCTCCAAGAGGTTTCGACAGCCGCCCCAGGGCAACAGAGTTAGGGACGACTTCGGGGCGAGCCTACGAATGGCCCAGGCCCAAACGAGCAGTCGCTCGGGGCGTCCTAAGTCGTGTCCGAGACCGACAGGAAAGTATCCGAATGGGATCCCACCGTAGTGAGGCACCGAGCCACCAAGGCCCAGGGAACGGCCTCGGCACCCACTAGAGAAATCCTCCGGTACTTTTGGAGTGCGTCTCTGGACCGCTAGCCGTCCCCTAGCGAACGGGGCTCGGGCCTCCACTCGGACTACCCGATAACAGCTCACCGAAAGTGTCCACGCTCGCGCCCATCGAGGGTAGCATGGCACATTCCACCCCTCCTTCCGAGCGAAAGGAAGCGTGAGGGACATACCCAACGTCAGGGGGACCCCTGATGAACCTCTCGCTCCATGCGGAGGCTAGAGGGCCTCTTTTTGCAACCTCGCCGAGACCCCCGCAACCTGAACTTGCGCTTATGGGCTCGGCAAATGCAATAAGAACTGATCACTCAAACGCGAAAGTGGAGAAAGCCCCTGGAGGAGTAACTTCACTCCTCCAGGAGCTCGGGGGCTACACCCGGTGGGTGCGCTCACGCGCACCCACCGGAACCTCGGAAACCAAACCAATTCCTACGGAGCAGGCATAAACCCAGCCTCGACGAACCCTCAGGGAGAGTGCACGCACTCACCCCGAGGCTCGGGGGCTACTGTCGGGTACCTTAGAACGGGGTACCCCAAGCAAACATCAAAATAAAGCTAGAAGGTAAGCCGTGGGCCCCTCACCTGCCACGACCGAGCCCTCCTCCACCTCACCTCGAGCCTCGAGCAGGGGGTCTCAGAACAAACACCGCCTCGCGCGAGGCTCCCTAGGGTAGGTCTCGGTAGGGGGCGCCGAGCCTCGGCAGGGGGCGCCATCTCCGTCTCGCCCGAGGCTATCCAGGGAAGGCCTCGGCAGGGGTACATTCTCCGTATCGCGCGAGGCGTCTCGCGCAAGGCCTCGGCAAGGAACCTAATCTCCGCCTCGCGTGAGGCCTCATTCTCCGTGTCGCTCGAGGCCGGCTCGTCCGCGGTCCGTCGCCCCCCGCCTCGGCCGACCCTCCCAACAACTCGTCATGTCCCATTAATGCTTCAACCACTCCCGCAATCTCAGCCGGACGGTGGCTCAATGCCACAGGATGGCCGACGCGACCCGAGGTCGCATCAGCGCCATACCGGCCGGGACAGGGTACGACGGGGATTACCGGCCACTGTGTCCTACCACTGTGTCCACGATCAGCGCCATACCGGCCGAGAGACAGAGTGACGGGATTACCGCCATCGTGTCCTACCATTGTGTCCACGATGAGCACCATACCGGCCGGGGGCCAGTACGACGGGGATTACCGACCACTGTGTCCAAACGCTGTACCCATGATCGGCCGCCCGTTCAAGGCCTCGGCACTATACACCGAGGCCTCGGCGATCTTGGGGTTCGTGCCTGCCGAGACCCCCCACCATGATGCCACCTCTCGGCATCGACCAAGTCTCGGCCTCGCGCCTGATCCGTCCCACGATGGCTTGCACGGTGAGTCGCCGCCGCCCCACTCCGAGGCATTCCGGGCTCCCACGACGCATGCAGATCTCATGGGATGACCACGCCGCCCAAAGACTCCAAGGATGGACCACTCCGACGGCCACACCGCCATAGGAACAGGCTACAGGGCCCGGACACGCCGCCTCTGTTCACACGACGCCGTATAGTCAGCTCATGTACCGTCCTAGTCCTCCCTTCATGCTATAAAAGGAGAGGACCTGGGTCGTTTTAAGGGGGAAGAGAACACCTGGTAACATACACGCACAATCCTGCCGCCTGAGAGCAACGTCTCATGTGGCCCGCACGACACCCTGCCGAGACCTAGGACCAGCTCATTCTCTCCTTTAGCTTGTAACCCCCTACTACGAGCACCTCGGTGCAAGGAATACAAGATCGATCTCTCGGACTGGACGTAGGGCCTCGATTGCCTGAACCAGTATAAACCTTGTGTCTCTTTGTATCACCATCCGGATCGGGAGCACGCAGAACAAATACACTAGTTGGTTGAGGACCTCCTGGTCCAAAACACCGACAGATGGCTTGTATTTTTAGTAAGCTAGCGCAACACTCGCTTCGCCTCATATTTGTCTAACCGGTTTGCTAAGTGTTGTTGTAGAAATTTTTAATAGGCTATTCACCCCCTTATAGCCATTAGGACCTTTGAGCTGATGGTGCAGTTGGCTTGTACACGTTATCTTGGTGATGCCCCTTGAAGAATACAATGCTCCTGCAAAGTTGAACCATATGATACATGTTGTTAATGTGCAATTAGAACTTGGATTATATTTTTCATGTGAAATTTCATTCGCATGTCTCAATGATTATGCAAGATGTTATTGTTCAGAAAACGTGGTTTGTAATTTATAGGATGGGTTGTACAATGGTTCACGTTTCGACCAACAAAGATTTGAATTAGCATGCATCCTATGTTTCATATTTAGCTCAGTTTCATATTTTAGGAGACCGTATAAGATTCAAGTAATTCTAAGCAAGAAATAAAAAATGTAAAGCATAATTTTAGAAAAAAATAAAATTGATTTCATATTTTTTATGAGTTAAAACAAATTCTCTATGATTTTTCTAAGGTGAAATCAGATTTTAGTATTTTCAGAATACATTTTTTCTAGAAAAATATTTGGATATTTTTTTAGAAATTATTTATAAAGTTTAATTGATCTATATGAACTATCGTGAAAGCATGATTTACCTTCCTCGTGGAGCCGTGAATGATGTGGCACCACCTAGGACGGCTAATTTGTCACATCAGCTTTTTTTTAGGGGAATTTGTGACATCAGCTAAGGTTTTAAAACCACCGAAGGAGGTAAATCGGGCTGATTCAAAAGATAAGGTAGTCTAAATAAAATCAATTTTAGAATTGAGGGAGGTACCGGCCCCGTTCGCTTGTCTGGAAAAAAGAAGCTAAAACACTGTAGCGGCTGGTTGTGTGAGAAAGAAATACGGTAGCGGCTGGTTGATAAATAGTGCCGCTACGAGGAGGAATCAGCCGGCTGGTCTGGAAACGGCAAGTTAGGCGAAATGGATCTTTTTTCCTGAAAAAAAAAATGCTTTGTGGCTCCCTTGGGCAGAAGCAGTACAGTCTGGAAAGCCTGCTGGGCTTAAGCATAAGCGGCCGCCTGCATCATCCACTAGTGCCTACATCGGCCTGCAAGGCTGCAACAGTCTCTCAGGGCTGCCTCTGAGAGTGTCGAGCAATGGAGCACCGCGTCTGCCGAGCTCCGATAAGTTGTTTGCTGATCAAACTCCTATTCTCCACTATTACAGTGTCCTTTCCTGAATGGTTTTGAGCAAATGCGCCCTAACTTATCAATCAAAAGAACCCCAACGCGATTAAATTGTTTGGTAAGATGTAAGTACTGTACTGTTAGAGACTACAGGCCCATCAAACTGCTGATCTCGTCATCTCCATGAGTTATTGGAATTGTCCTCGTCTGAATATTTTGTTCAAAAATGCCACAAGAGGCCATGAATCACCATTATATCTCAAAAAAATGCGCCCTGAATTACCAATCGAAATTAGCTCCGCCATTTTCAGGCAGCTGCATCTTTAGTTGCATTGCATGGCACAAAGAAATTCAGAACACATCACCAACAAAATCCAGACCAATGAATCTCACATTCATGCAGGCAGGGTGAATCACTGCGCCTTCGACTTTCCTCCAGTCACATTGGAAACCATCTCCCTGAGGAACCTGGCCGACTTGGTCACCGGCGAGTTGGCGGCCATGAGGTTGTACAGCATAGTCTCCACCTCGCCGATCGTCGGCCGCTTCTCAAGCCGCGACACGACCTTGAACTCCTGCCCCTCCGGCGCGCCGTCGTCGTTCTCCACCATGAGCACCCAGCTCTCGCCGCCGAACCGCCCGACCTCGACGCACCGGAGCAGCACGCCCCTCTTCTTGCTCAGCAGGCCCCGCACCTCCAGCCCCGTGAAGGAGTAGACCACGTCGAAGGAGCCCACGAAGCCCCTCGCGCCGGCGCCGAATTTCTCCTCTTCTTCCTCCTCGTCGAAGCTCCACGCCGGGTTGAACAGCACCACCGGCTTCGGTTCCAGCGCTGCGGCGGCGGCCTTCACCTGCTCCACCTGCGCCGGCCCCGTCGCCAGGAACACCGCGGCGTCTCAGGCACTCAGCACGTCCGGCGCCACCGAGCCCAGCCGCGCATGCGCCGTCGCCGAGTCGCCCCCCTGGTTCTCGAACTCGCTCAGGGCCACGGCCAGCGCCTCGGCCGAGGGCCAGACGAGCAGCAGCCGCGCCGGCGCGCCCTTCCTCGATGCCCCTGCGCCGCCCGAGAACACGTCGAACGCGAGGCGCGCAAGGGAGCCCGGCGACTCGTCGACCACGGGGATCTCGGCGCGGAACCGCGGCTGCCGCTGCCTCTTGAGCTTCTTGAGCGGGATCGAGTTGTTGAGCGGCTTCTGCAGTGCCGCGGCGAGGCAGGACCGTGCCTGGGCGACGGCCTCCTGCCTCGACGACGGCGGCGAGGGGGCGTTGTTGGCAGTGCCCGAAGGCGGGGACGTGGATGATTGGACGTGTTGCCGCGGCGGCGGTGTCTTGATGCGGAGGGGAGAGCGGCAGGGCGGGAAGTGGCGCGGTGCCAAGAAGACCGACGGGCGCGTCGGGAGTGGCGGGAGCGGGGGTTTGAGCGCGATCTTGGAAGGAGGAAGATTGAGGAGGCTGTTCAAGGCCATTGGCGCGGGAAGCGTCGGCCAAGAGAAGATAAGGTGTTATCTACATGGCGCGGGGAAGAGGCATCTTAGACAAAGTGTACATCAAGTTGCATCTAGCTGAAACATGTTCCATCTCTCTTGACAACTCAAATATCATATCGTTGTTTTTTAACGGTAATGATACGCGTGTTACGTCCGACACGATTAAATCGTCGGATGCTCCCGTACACCCACCGCCTCGTTGCTTGTGCTTGTACCCCGTCGCTCGCTCTGCCTGTGAGTTTATTAAAAAAAATTACACATCCTTATCCCTTCTGCTTCCTCCTCCCCTGTGGCAGCGCCTTGCGGCTGCCCCGTCCTGGACGTAGATGTGCACTTCCCTCACTGCTGTCACGCGCCCCATCCGTGCCTCTCGCCTCCTCCCGTCGTGCGCGCTGGTGCTGGTGGTGCTTGCTTCGCCCGTCGCGCTCGTCGTCCGCCCGGCCGACCCAAGCCCGGTGCTGGTGGCGCTGGTCCTCGCGCGCGCCGCTAGTGCTAGATGCTAGTGGTGCTCGCGCGCCGTCACTCGTCGTCGGCTCCCACACCGATGGGCGCAATTGACCGGCACAGGCACCCCCCTCCCCAATTTTGCAAATATATGTTTCAAGCAGTTCAGACGTTTCAGAGGTATGTTGCAGTTGTTTTATATGGATGTTGCAAAAGTAGATCGGGGTTGTTGCACATGTTTCACAGACATGTTGCAAGAGTTTGTTCAAAATATTTCATCTGTTACAGACGTATGTTGCAAGCGTTTTGATCTGGATGTTGCATATGTTTTCACACATATGTTGCAACAGTATGTTACAAATGTTTCATCTGTTCGAGTCTTACGTTGTGGCAAGTGTTTTCATATAGCAAGTTGCAAGTATTCTATCTGGATGTTGCATATGTTTTCACACATATGTTGCAAGTGTATGTTCTAGATATTTCATCTGTTCTAGACATATGTTGCATTCAGCTGTTTAATGTTGCACGTGTTTCAAGCTGTTCGGAGAGTCAGGGGCGTCGGGGAATGAGGCATGGCGAGCCGGTAGCCGACGGACGTGGCACACGACGCGCTGGGGGCCGGCGGTCGGGGGCACGACAGGGCGGGGTGTGTAACAGAACCGACCAATTATATCTTCCGCCGAAGCAGATAATTTAGCAAACTTAAGCCTGTATAACCCGGTAGTCCGTGAAACCACGAAGGATTTCAAACCAATCGACATACAATCCAAAATCGTACAAGTTTAGCAATCACTGTCACATGTTACATAAAGTTCGCAATGACAGTTGGATACATCGGAGTTTAGAATATAAAGTTATTACAACCCAAGTTTAAACTGAAATAGCGGAAGCAAATAGTTTTAAAGCCACACACACACTTTTGGTTCAGATACAGTGCCAGTAGGTAGTCATCTCCAACAAAAGCATTAGATGAGAGATACGGAGTGACCATTGCCCTTGATCCTAGTTGTCGCCCATCGCCGGGTATAGGCAGTTAATGCAATAGTCGTAGTACATTTGACCATCTGCAACAACAATGGGAACAACGCCCTGAGTACGAGAAGGTACTCAGCTAGACTTACTCGTCTTAAACCAAAATAAAGCGACACCAAGGATTATACAAGACTTTCTTTAGTGGGCTAGCTGACTCATTTGCGAAAAGCATAAGATATCATGAAGAAACCATTTTAAGTACTTTGCATCATCTTTATTATGACCTATCCATCTAGGTAAGCACCTATACTATAGCAATCACTTGATTAACCAATAACATCCAGTTACCAACTTAGATTTAGCATATCCCATACCATCCAGATAACCATCAGTGTTCCATCATAATTACTACGATGCTGTAGCTCAAGTCAAGTGCTCACTATCCAGGAGCGATGGCGATTCGAATCGATTCCTAACCAGCTGGTGATTTATTCCTCACACAAACCACACTCACCGATCAAGTGAGCTACAGATCACTAATGATACTTTCCAAGTAGCCGCGGGATAATAGTCATGGACCGCACTACCCAGAGACCGTCCGACAGCCAGGACGCACCTTGGGCTTACTCTTCGCGTCCCCGTCATACCCCCTTTAGCACCAGTCTACCAATCCGAGTTTATCCCGGCTCGAATAGTGTCACTAGCTTCGCGGTCGAAAGGTACTTTATTCGGCCAGCTAATTGTGAGGCATACATTCAACATGACAAGAGGGACGAGCAACGATCGGTCCTTAATCGACACAGACGGAAAACTAACAGCACCCCAGAACCCTGTCTGGTTGCCTCCAACTTTTCTGTCCGGTCTCCAATTATCCATCACACATGGTTAAATCCAGGATATCATTCTTTCCATAGCTAAATTCTTCCAGTAACCACCTATAAATGTAGGTGACCGGAAATCACCGATCGCTACCGGTCTAAGCAAGGCTAAGCAGTTATTCGATCCCGACCTAACAGGGTAAAAAGGTAATAAGGTAGGCAAGGATAGTAATAAATGCATCAACGGTTTCAATCAACTCCTACAACTTAATGCAATAATATATAAACTCATATATAGAAAGAATTGCTTTTATAAAATAGGAGACTTAGAATGCTCCGAGGCTTGCCTCGTTCGAATGAACTAGGTTGATGATCCACGCACTCGGGCAAGTCCTCTCCTTGTTCCTCTTCCTCTGGCACCTCCTGTGCCTGGATTTCTTGTGGATCTGTCCCGGTCTGCTCTTCCTAAACTGCTACTAGCAACTCCTCCTGCGATCTTGTATGATGCAAATGTATAAGTGCTCATGCATAGGTGCATCGGAGAGATGACATGTAATGATCATGATGCATGGAATATAGATGAACATGTTTAACTTTATTGGACATAGTAGAAGTAAAGCTCTTCTACAAGGTAGCCAACATCATCCAAGAACATGTACTACTATACTACTACTACTACAACCACTGTACTAACATGCCAAGTCACCACAGCAAGCTAAGATTCTTCAAAAATACACCAAAGCAAACATTATTAACTAAACATGCATTAAAAAGGTTAATTAAACCCTAATTGAAACTAGGTTTGAACAGCAACACCTATTTTGGTAGCACAGAAAAATCTAAGAAAATTACAGTAGCATAGTACTACTCTAAGTAGACTACCATAAAATTTTCATGGCATTTGGATAAGTAAAATAGCCTACACAAAAATGACAAGCTATGGCATAAATATGAGCATGAAAATACTTTGTATTATGAAAAGTATCAAACAACAGATTTAATATTTTTTCTATATTCTACACAATAAACAATCACTGCACAAAAATTATCATATACATGTTTTATACAATTTTTGCTCTCTATCAAAATAACAAAAATCATCAATTAAAGGCACTTGAACTACACATCAATATTTCTCTACAGAACATGCATAACATATATTTTTTCTACAAAGTACATCACTAAAGGAGATTAACAAAACTAGAACCATATTTTTCTGATAATTATTCTATTTACTAGACATTTTCTAAGATAACAGCAAATATAAGAATTAAATAAAATCCTATACAAAAGTATCACAAAAACCACATGCAATATTTTTCTACAGTAGATCTAAGAATAAGAAGCATATAGAAATTTGTTTCATCAAATTTTGAGCAATCTTTTTCAATTTATGAATTTCCAAAGCATTTAAACAAAATATGTAAATCGTTTCTTTTATTCCTTCTGCAAATCCCGGTTCAAAAACGCTAGATCCACCTGGATCTGTACACGCGCGTACACACACAGGGGCTGACAAACGGGCCCGAGGGTTAGCGGGAGAGGAAGAAGGGCGGCGCTGACCACGGCTAACCTCGCCGCCGGCGAGGTCTCCGGTGAGGAGGTCTACTCTATCGCACTCTCCTTCGCAAGGCGAACCTACTGGTGCAGCTATTGTGGCCAGTGGAGCTCGGGAGCAAGTTCACCGGCATCCATGGCGACGCGGTGGCCCGGCTCAACGTCGGCCGGCCATCTCCGGCCGAGATGAGGCGAAAGGAGGGGCTTCGGAGCTCCACCGCGTCAGGACGGTGCTTGGGCGCGTGAAAATAGGGAGAGAGGGGGAGCGGAGAGGGGGAGTCCACGGAGCGGAGCTCTCCAGTGAGCTCGACCACTACTCCGGCGAGGGATTCCCGAGGAAGGAAAGCTTCCCAAGGCTTACCGAGGCGAGCATGGGGTGCGCGAGGTGGAGGCGGAGCTTTGGGCGAGACGGAGCGGTCGACGGCGAGCTGGGGTGGCCAGGTGAGCCAACTCCGGCGAGGCGCGTGCGGCGGCGGAGCTGCCGGTGCGCGCGGGAGCTGCTGCTGCTGCTGTCCGAGCGAGGACGAGGCGAAGGAAGGGAGGGAATGGCGGAGTGAGGGAGCGGGGGCTTGCCCGAGCCGACAAAACGGTCAGGGCATGGCGACGTCGGTGGCGCATGGCGGCCACGCTGGCGGGGACTCGCCTGCCATGAGCAGGCTGGAGGTGAGCCTGAGGCTGCAGGCTGGGAGCACGGCGAGAAAAGTGCGGGCGGCGGGCAGGCCAAGCTTCGCTTAGTCAGGCCGGGGCAGAGCGGCGGCCCAACTAAGGTAAGAACTGTTTTTCATTTTCTTTTCTTTCCCAAATTCATTCAAATGAAATTTTAAACCTTTTCAAAGCAGTTTCAAAAGTTGGACCCAAAATAGAAGTTGCTCAGAAAAATGTACTCTACAACTTTGCCAAAAAGAGTAAGGCCAAAATCCAATTAGATTTTGAACTATAGATTTAAAGTTAATTTAAATCAAAAACCCTATTTTAGAAGATTAATTTTAAAAGCAAAATTTGAGAAAACTTTGAATATACACCTTGCTCCAAATTGCATCCTAATTACTTCTAAGTGGTCTAAGTGATCAACCAAGGTACACCCATGGCAAAACAATTAAAACAAAACTATGCAACATACATGTTTCATTAGTATGTTTCAATTCTATATTTCATGTCATGCTTATGAATGCATAATAATGATTATGCTCATGATTTGCAAAATGTTAATGCATGCTTAACACCGAGGTGTTACAGGGTGCGCCTACGGGACGGTGCGAACGGATGGGAGCTGGTCGTATTGAGGCGGATAGGGCGGATTGCGAGCGAGTCGTCGACGGCGCAACGCGCATGCGGGCAAAGCAGATTAGCGGACGGGGGGGCAGGCTATGCAAGCGCGCACGGGGAACGGCCGTCTGCTAAGTATCCTATCGTCGGACGTCTAGGGCGCCGGCACTTCTTTTTTTTTAAACGGGCGCATATCCTTTGCAGTCAATTGCAAGGTCACTCTGGACAGGTATGCCCGATAGCTGTGCAGACTGCAGAGCGTGAACTGAGGCTGTGTTTAGTTCGCGAAATAAAAATTTTTGGATGTCACATTGGATGTTTCGGGGATATCAAAAGGGGTTTTCGGATACTAATAAAAAAACTAATTACATAGCTCGTCTGAAAACTACGAGACGAATTTATTAAGCCTAATTAATCCATCATTAGCGTATGTTAGTTATTGTAGCACTTATGGCTAATCATGGACTAATTAGTCTTAAAACATTCGTCTCGCGATTTCCAACCAAACTGTACAATTAATTTTTATTCGTCTATATTTAATATTCTATGCATGTGCCATAAAATTTGATGTGACAGTTTAGGATACAAAATTTTGGGAACTAAACCGGCCTAACTGAGTGGAGAGCCTTTCTGCCACCGAAGGATGAGCAGAGATGCAATGATGAAAAATGAGTGACGCATTGAAATAAACAGAAGTCAACTTTGTTATTCCTTCCCAACAAATTTAGGCCGTGTTTAGTCACCCGAATCGGCGCCGATCGATTCACTGTAGATATACTGTAGCTACAGTGTTGTTTTATTTTTATTTGTTAATAATTGTCTAATCGTTGACTAATTAGGCTCAAAACGTTCGCTCGCAAAGTACAACCAAACTGTGCAATTAGTTTTTAATTTCGTCAACATTTAGTACTCCATACATATACCACAAGTTTGATGTGACGGAAAATCTTTTTTTTTTGCATAATGTTAAAGTTGGAAATTTGATGAACTAAACATGGCCTTAAAGAAACGACAAACACCTGAAACAGCTCGAAGGAAAACACATCCAGCAATGCGGCATGCATCGTTCACATATTCAGGCGTGCGCCAGCGAGGCCGTCTTCCCGGTCCCGGCAGCGGTTCTTGCTTCGATCAGGTCGTCGACGAGACGGCGCAGATCACAGAATGACGAGCCGCCCTCCGACACAGCCGAGCGTGCCTTCGCGGCGAGCACCCCTGCCCTGCTCCTAGCCGCCTCGCGCCGGTGCCGCCCGGCTCCAAGAACGTTGCCACCGCCTCTGCTGGCCCGACCGTCTGCTCCTCGTATCTCGTGCTCCGCGGCCCGCTCCACACCCTATCCCCGATCTTCAGGACCTCCGTCACCAGCCTCTCCTCGATGAACTGGTCGAACACCAGCGGCCACGTCAGCATCGGCACGCCGCCCGCCGCCGCTTCCAGCAGTGAGCTGGACCCGCAGTGCGTCAGGAACGCGCCGACCGCTGGATGGGCCAGTGTCGCCGTCTGCGGCGCCCACCCTCTGACCAGCATCCCCCTCTCCCCGACGCGCTCCTCCCAGCTCTCCGGCGGCGTCCTGCCGTCGGCTCTCACCACCCACAGGAACGGCTTCCCCGAGGCTTCTAGCCCAAGCGCCAGCTCCCGGAGCTGCTCCTCCGAGATGGCAGCGAAGGTGCCGAAGCATACGTACACCACTGAAAACCTCGGCTTGGTGCCGAGCCACGCGACGCATGGCGAATCTCCGCCGCTTGCTCCGGCGGGTGGTAACGGCAGCGAGAGGGGCACGATGAAGTAGGCGCTGTAAACGGCCAATTCCCTCGGATACTCTAGCATAGATAAGGATCAGCTGTTTAGTTGTTGTATACGAACTGGTCAGTGCATGCCTATTCTTCAGCTGATCCTAGTCTTCAGGGTAGTGGTTAGGAGTATACGGCCACTGTTGTTCTGGCCTTTGTATTTATACCGGCACACTGTTATGAACACGCTAGCTGAGTATTCTCTCCCATCTCTGTCTCTTACATGGTATCAGCTTACTCTTGATCCAACATCCTTCCGCTGCTCTCCTCTCCATTTTTCAGCCATGGCCAGTCCTGTTTCCGCTGCGTCCGGTGCCTCCAACCCATTCGCTGGCCCTAATGACCCTGCTCCGCCCCCAGCCGCCACTCTTGTGCTGCTGAACATCCGCAACCACGTTCCTGTCATCCTCTCCACGGACGATGGGAACTTCCGCCAGTGGCGTTCCTTCTTCGAGCTGACCATCAAGAAATTCGGCCTCATCAACCACATTGATGGCACGGTCGACGCCGCCGCCATGTTCAACGACCCGGAGTGGCTTCAGGTGGATTCCTGCATCACCTCCTGGCTCTACAACACGGTGTCGAAGGAGATCTGGAACGACGTCAACCGGCCGAACGCCACCGCCCACTCCACCTGGACGGCGATCACCGGGCAGTTTCTTGACAACCGCCTTCAGCGCGCCGTCTACGCTCAGCAGGAGTTCCACAGCCTATTCCAAGGCGACATGAACATCAGCGAGTACTGCGGCCGCCTCAAGCGCCTCGCCGACACCCTCTACGACTGTGGCGCTGCGGTCTCCGACACGGCGCTCGTCATCAACACCCTGCGAGGCCTCAACAACAAGTTCAGCCAGGCCATCGCAGTGCTCTCCACCATGTCCCCGCCGCCGACGTTCCTCTACACCAAATCGTATTTGTTGCAGGAGGAAAATCGCATTCGGCATTCCCTGCAGATGGAGGCGCAGACGGCCCTTCTCTCGGCCGCCCCCGCGAACGCGTCGAGCAAGCCTGTGGCGCCGTCTCCACCAACTGCACCGGCCCCCACCAACGGTCCCAATGATCGCCGCAAGAAGCGCAAGCCCAACGACGGTCGCAACCGCCCGAGCAACTCCGGCGGCCAGGGCTCCTCCTCCGGCCGGCCTCCTGCACCACACGACGGCGCGCCACCGCAGCCATGGGCCTCGACCTACAACCCGTGGCAGGGTGTCGTTCAGGCCTGGCCCATGAACAATTGGCGCCCCAGTGTTCTCGGATCGCGCCCCGGCATCAACCCTCCGCAGGCGATGGCGGCATACTCGGCACCAACACCGGATCACGCCTTCCACGCCGGCCAGCAGGGCTCCCTGCCTGCCGGTCTCTACTCCGCGCTGAACGGCATGACGCTCAACAACACCGGTGGGGGCGGATCGGATTGGTTCCTCGACACGGGCGCCACGTCCCACATGGCGTCCAACTCCGGTATTCTACACTCTTCCCCTTCCCCTCCTGTCCATCGTCACATTGTTGTCGGCAATGGACAACTCCTTCCTGCTCAGCATACTGGCCATGCCTCAATTCCCACTTCCTCAACCCCCCTTCATCTTCGCAATGTTTTAATAGCTCCACAACTCATCAAGAATCTCATCTCTGTACGTGCTTTAACCCGTGATAATTCAGTTTCTGTTGAATTTGACCCCTGGGGTTTTTCCATTAAGGATCTTCGTACCAAGATGGCGCTCCTCCGATGTGACTCTTCCGGTGACCTCTACCCTCTACCTGGCTCGCCGGCACCCACCTCAGCTTCCTCGGCTCGCCCTGCAGCGGCCCTTCTCGCCTCCAACGACAGCACGCTGTGGCATGCTCGCCTCGGTCATCCAGGCCAGGGCACGCTCCAGCGGATGTCACGCTCCATTGGCTTTTCCTGCACCAAATCCAGTCGCCATACTTGCCACGCCTGCCGCCTCGGCAAGCATGTTCGACTGCCATTTAGTGTTTCCAATAATGTTTCTAGCTTTCCCTTTCAATTGTTGCATTGTGATGTTTGGACATCTCCCATTTTCAGCAACTCCGGTTATAAATACTACCTTGTCATGTTGGATGATTACTCTCACTATGCTTGGACATTCCCACTGCGCCACAAATCAGATGTCCTCCCAACCATTATTTCATTCCATGCTTTTGTGCGCACACAGTTTCAAGTTCCTATTATGTGCCTCCAAACTGACAATGGTAGAGAGTTTGATAACTCAGCCACTCGCGCATTCTTTGCACAGAATGGGATTGTTCTTCGCCTGACATGCCCCTATACTTCACAGCAAAATGGCCGCGCCGAACGTGCTCTGCGTACCATCAATGATGGACTTCGTGCTCTCCTCTTCCAGGCCTCAGCTCCCCTCACTTTCTGGCCAGATGCCCTTGCAGCCTCCACATACCTACTCAACCGCCGCCCGTGCCGTCCAAGGGCGCACGCCACGCCGTATGAACTGCTGTTCGGCACAGCGCCAGAATACCAACACCTCCGCGTCTTTGGTTGCTTGTGCTACCCCAACACAGCAGCTACCGCACCCCATAAGCTCGCGCCACGCTCTGCACGCTGCATCTTTCTCGGCTACCCGCACGATCAGCGTGGCTACAAATGCTATAACCCAGTCACCAAACGCGTGCTAATCTCTCGTCACGTGTATTTCGACGAGACATGCTTTCCTTTTGCGCAGGAACAGACGACACCACTGCTCGAACACCCTCCATGCCAACCATGTTCGGATGATGTGGTACATGCTCATGCGGCGCCCCGACAACCACGACAGCGTGCGCGGTCACCACCTCGCGACGCTTCAGTCCGCGGTCACCAGGCGCATGGGTCCCCGGCGCGTGACGCATCACCTGCTGCGGCATCAGCACCTCCGCAGCACCAGTCGCCATCGACGGTCGAGCCTCCTCCACCGCAGCCGGGCCCGTCTTCGTCAACACCGGAACCAGCGCCGCGGCACCCGATGGTCACACGCGCGCGGGATGGCATTCACCTGCCTAACCCGAAGTACGCGCACGTGGCCACCACCGCCGACATCACCCCGGCGCCGTCCTCCGTCCGCGCTGCCCTTCGCGATCCCGAGTGGCTAGCAGCGATGCAGGCGGAGTATGATGCTCTGCAGGCCAACGGCACTTGGACGCTGGTGCCTCGGCCAGCACATGCCAATGTCATCACCGGGAAGTGGTTGTTCAAGAACAAGCTCAACGCCGACGGAACGCTCGAGCGGCGCAAAGCCAGATGGGTTGTCCGAGGGTTCTCTCAACGACCTGGAGTAGATTTCCATCAGACTTTCTCTCCGGTGGTGAAACCAGCAACCATACGTACAGTACTTCACCTTGCAGCGACCCGTCAGTGGCCGGTTCACCAACTCGATGTCAAGAATGCGTTCCTGCACGGTGATCTTGCCGAGCGAGTCTATTGCCATCAACCTGCTGGGTTCAAAGATGCTTCCCGACCAGACCATGTGTGCCTCCTGATCAAGTCCTTATACGGCCTCAAGCAAGCACCCAGAGCGTGGTTTCAGCGCCTCGGCAGCCACCTGCGCAGCATGGGCTTCACAGCGGCTGGTTCCGACTGCTCCTTGTTTATCTTCAGTCACGGTGGGCAGGCGGCATACCTCCTCGTCTATGTGGATGACATAATCCTCACTGCCTCGACAACATCCTTGCTGCGCGAGGTCGTCCACAAGCTCAGTCAGGCCTTCGCAATCAAAGACCTCGGTGCCCTCCACTTCTTTCTGGGCGTCCAGGTTCGCCGCGACAGCAATGGCTTCACACTCAGTCAAGCTCAGTACACGGAGGACATACTTGAGCGAGCCGGAATGGCAAACTGCAAGCCTGCTTCCACACCAATTGAGGCTACACCAAAATTGTCAGCCGCTGATGGTCATCCTGTCGATGATGGATCCTTCTACCGCAGCATCACCGGCGCCCTCCAATACCTGACGCTGACGAGGCCGGACATTGCGTATGCAGTCAATCAAGCCTGCCTGCATATGCACGCTCCACATGATGTGCACTGGACCATTGTCAAGAGGATCCTACGCTACTTGAGGGGCACAATCCAGCACGGGCTGAAGATCTCTGCGTCACCATCGACCGACCTGAAGGTGTACTCGGATGCCGATTGGGCAGGCTGTCCCGATACACGGCGGTCAACTTCGGGATACTGTGTGTTCCTCGGGGACTCTCTCGTCTCATGGTCGTCCAAGCGACAGACGACGGTATCCAGGTCTAGCGCTGAAGCTGAATATCGCGCCGTGGCGAACGCCGCCGCGGAATGCTGTTGGCTCCGGAATTTGCTTCGCGAACTGCATGTGCGCATCGACAAGGCCACGGTAATCTATTGTGACAATGTCTCTGCAGTTTACTTGGCTGAAAATCCAGTGCATCATCGCCGAACGAAGCATGTGGAGCTTGACATTCATTTTGTAAGAGAGAAGGTCGCCCTTGGTCAGTTCCAAGTTCTGCAAATCCCTACTCGCCACCAATTTGCAGATATCATGACGAAGGGTTTGCCAACTTCATTGTTCAATGATTTCAGAGACAGTTTGTGCATACGGATAACCGAAGCTCCAACTGCGGGGGGGTGTAAACGGCCAATTCCCTCGGATACTCTAGCATAGATAAGGATCAGCTGTTTAGTTGTTGTATACGAACTGGTCAGTGCATGCCTATTCTTCAGCTGATCCTAGTCTTCAGGGTAGTGGTTAGGAGTATACGGCCACTGTTGTTCTGGCCTTTGTATTTATACCGGCACACTGTTATGAACACGCTAGCTGAGTATTCTCTCCCATCTCTGTCTCTTACAGGCGCGCTTGAGGAATCCGCTGCGCACGCACATGCCGCAGTATGGCTGCTCCAGATCCACGAACTAGTTGAGGGCGACGCCGAAACACCTGCCCATCGCCACATGGCACTGCCTGATCCCATCGTGCTCCTGTCGGCATCTCAGGAACTCCGGCAACTCGGATACGGGGATCCGTATGTCCGGCCCCGGCAACCCAGGGACGGTAACTTCCTGACCATCTCTGACGACGGCGGCGTCACGGCCGAGGTGGTACATGACGAGCGTCGAGAAGATGCCAACGACGTTGAACGTAACGCACGGCACGCCGAGTTCGGCGGCCACGGCGTTGTTCCAGGTGACGAAGTGGACGTCGGTGATGACGGCGTCAGGGGACTGTTCCCTGATGAGCGCCTCCTGCGCCGGTAGCGTCAGGGCCTCGTCGACGGCGACGGCATCAATGCGCCACTCGTCGTCTCCGGCGGCGGAGAGGTTCTCCACGCCCGGGGCGAGGCCGTCCACGAGCGGGAACGGGTAGGTGGCGATCTTGACCGCGCCGCTCGCCTCGGCGCCGTGCCGCCCGAGGGCCGAGCGAACCACGTGGACGTTCGCCGGGGTGACAGCGAGAGTGAGCTCGACGGCGTCCGGGCTGGATGTGGCGAGGCGGACGGCGAGGTCGGTGTCACTGCCCCTCACCCAGCGTCCACTCAGCTGAAGACACTGCTCGACCCAGGAAGAGCAAGAGGGCCCGAGCGAGGAGTGTTCGGATATCCGGCCCACAATGGGCTTGTAACGCCTGTGCCGCTGAGCCCAAGAGTGAGTGAGATATAGAAAGGGGAGGAGTGGAGAGGAAGGCAACGAGGAAACAAACTCTGTACTCGTACTCGTTACTTTTCGTCTGAAGAACTCGTCTTCTTCCTGTATTCGTGATCTAGGAGTAGCAGATCGGCATCCCCAGTGGGCTGCTGACAATCGGTGAACGGCCCGATGTGACTGGTGGAGAAGAAGGGCATGAGAAGGATGCGCAGCTTCTTGATGGACTCGGGCGCGGCCATTGATTCTGCGTGGCAGGCTCAACTTCTTTCACAAACGAATTGGAACGAGTCGGAATAGCTAGGCTCGATGCCAAGCGTTTTGCGAAGGCGTAGATGAATGTCGATCATGCAAGCAATCACTCCGTCGGCGCTATGACGATGGACACGGCAGTCATACGGTGACTAGTTAACATCAACGTGGCCAGCGTGCTCGACATAAAAATGATGCGTTGTGACTTCATCCGCCTTTTTAGATATTGTCAATCTATTTAGATTTTCTCAATCTATTATTCTATAAGTAGAATTAATAAACGGCACTGCTAGTGCCCGGATGTGTAGACGGACACCCACGACTGCAGTTCATTTTTGCGCATCCACGCGTGGTCCCGCGCCACCCGGACGTCGCTCGCCTGCGCCCGCGTCTCGCACGGCCACGCGGGGGCCCACGCCGCCCAAACATCGCCCGTGCGGGAAACCTCTCACGCCTCCTCCCGCTTGCCATACACATCCCATGTGCAACACCCAATCTACTTTGAAACATCCAGATGCAAAACTTACAACATACAAGAAAAACGGATGAAACACTTGAAACATGCGGTTAAAACACTTGCAAAAACATTTTGAAAACCATTGCAAACATATACAACATCCATATAAAACACTTACAACATATGTGTGAAACATATGCAGCATCCAAATAAACACACTTGCAACATACGTCTGAAAAACAGATAAAACATTGGAGACAAATGCTTGCAACATACATGTACAACCATTGTAACATATGCAACATCCCGATCCACTTCTGCAACATCCGCATGAAACACTTGCAAGTTGCAACATACCTATAAAACATCTAAAACATTTGAAATGTTAGCTTGCAACATGCATAGTATCCCGGTGCGGCCTCCTCCGCCATATGCATCGTGCCGTAGCAGGAGGTGAGGCTAGAGGGCTTCACGCCAGGGCCCAATGCTTCTCCTTGCGCTGGCGGCGCCTGCTGGTATCGTCGGGCGAGGCGAGTGGCGGAGCAGGAACATCGAGGTGGGCACGCGGAGCAGGAGCAAGATCAGCGGCAGAAGCAATGGGGTGGGCGGCGGAGCTTAGGTTTATTAGACTAGTCCGAAGGCCTAGGCGCGTGGCGTCTGGACGGGATGGACGCCCGCGTCCTATCATTATCGATTAATAAAACCATATACTTAGGTAATAATAGAAACGACATTACGGATAAAAAAAGAGTTTCATTCAGATGGAGAAGAAGCGGCACATTATGATAAAAAAGAGTTCGGTTGAGAAGGAGAAGCGGTGCAAATTAGAACAAAAAATATCATTTGATTCATCGATCCCTTCGTTACAACAGGAAATTTGATTCATTGATCCCTTCGTTACAACGGAAAACCCTAAAAGCTAACTATCAAGATTTTGCGCTATCAGGACACATACTTCAAGAAATGATCTGTGACTGATAAAGACAGTAAAAAAATGCCTCGTATCTCACATTATCAAAGAAAACAATTATTTGGTGCTAACGTGCAAGATCATCGCTCTAACATAGAAAACAAGTTTTTGCATGGAAAGTCAGCAACGAACGGTAATCAGATGAGTAATCACAGTCTCTTGTTCTTTCTCCGACGAATCATTGTCATTGTTAATAGATTAAGCAGATCATCATCACAGATCTACAATTCGCGCCGATTGACGCAGAGGAATCTGTAAGCAGACAAGATAACATAATAGTTTATCTCACGAACAGTAATTAATAAAAAATGAACATATACATATTTGATTATTTAAACCTTTAAAACATTATTAAGGGCATTTTGATTTACAACCAAAATTTGTCATGCCAAAGATTTAGCCATCGAAAGTTGGGTAAAAATATTTGTCGCGGCTTAAGCAAGCCAAATGTGAGATTAAGCAACTCCAACAGCTTGTCTAAAATATTTGTCACGGCTTAAGCAAGCCAAAGTCAGATCCCGTGGTTGGCTATATATGGCCACCGAAAATCAAAGGATAACCAGCTTTCTATTTTACAAAGCCAGATAGCACATTTGTTGAAGCCTACCTTTTGCTATAAAAATTCTAAAATAGCCTCCACAACAAAAATAGCTAAGCTATTAGAGCAAGTTTTGGTAACAAACCAAATGACAACAAAAGCTTGGGCGGCTCAAGTTTGGCAACCAAATTTTAGCCAACAACCAATTAAGCTCGGGCCTAGCGCAAGCGGTAGAGTCTTACCGCCTATGACCAGAAGATCCCGAGTTCCAAGTCGTGGTCACCTTGCGTTGCACAGACGAGGGTAAGACTTGCCACTGACACCATTCCTCAGACCCCGCACAGAGCAGGAGCTCACTGCACTGGATACACCCTTTAACCAATTAAGCTCTAATTCTCGATAAAAAAAACATAAATGCAAAAGTGCTCTGGTAAGCTGCTAGTACATGAACATTGAATTTCTGGATTAGCATTGAATTTGAATCCATCTTGATGGATGCTTCACTAGCCAGTTCAAATGCCGTTTTCTGTGCATTCGAGTATCAAGAATATGTTAGCCATCCTAGTACCAAAGCATACTTGGATAGCAACGTCCCAGTAGAATAAATTCACTGCTGCTCCCTCCTGCATTCCACCAGGAAGTAGTTCGGGGCATTCTCAGAAATTTAAAGAGTAGTGACAGATTGTCCTTAGTACTATTGGAGCATTGGTACAGAGCTCATATAGCTACAACAAACAATGTTGAGCCAATATGAGAATTGTGACAAGACAAATGTTTCCTGATTCAACATAACCAACTTAACAAGAACCAAGCAAATGATCTAGTAATCTGGAACCAAAAACAAGGACAAGTGAACTCCAGAAAACCATAATAAAAAAAACACGATTGATTAACTTGTTACAGACATTATCAGCATTTAGGGTGTTTAATGTTTTCTACTTACATATATAGAAAATACAATAATTGTATCAAGGTATGTTGATACTGAAACCAAAGGCACAAAAGAAAATACAGACTGCATAACTGCAAATAAGTTCAAGCTTGCAAAGCCTGCCACATGGTGGTGCGTTAGGTGCTTTGAATTTTGATCACAGAACCAATCAAGTATAGTTTTGATGTTTGGTACCTTCTGAATTCTGTTCTTTCCTAGACAGCCACACCCAGACAGTTATCATTCCAAACAGAGAATTTCCGGTTCAACATAGGAATTTGGTAGTCCCTAAAAGATTCTCTATGACCAGCTCTAAGAACATCACACCACAATTAACAACAAACAACTTACACTAAGCAACATCCACAAATGTAGTTGACTTCCAAATAAGTCCCCTGTACCTTGTAGGATCTTCAGTGTCCAGCTCTAATAATGACACCATAGCTAGAACAGTGATTTTAAGGGACTATCTGCCATGTACACCGAGCATGTATCTTGCAATTTTTTCGATCATGCTATAACTCGTCCACAAATTTTAGCGCTCTTACCATACGCCCCAGGGAAAACAGATTTCACTTAGCTTAATTTGGTATATTACATTACTGTTTGCCTGTAGTGGCGAATTAGTTCATCTGTGACTGTAAGCATAGAAGAACCAAATCAACAGCAGGCAAAGTGAGCATAGAAGACCATCCATATCTAATCAGAAAACTCATCAATCATATCTCAAGTTTTATTTCCACTGAATGGTTGGTTATCAGTACACCCCCAAATTTCACATCTTTATACCAATGATGAAACCAGGTACCATCCGAGATGCCTCGCGCTCAGAACACGATGCGGAACTGCGGCGCGCCCTCGCCAGCAGCCGGGACCAGCTCCCAGCGGCACGGCTCGAGCTCGTCGGAGACGGGGCAGTAGCCAGCGAGCGTCAGAGCGGCGCCAGATTCCGCCGCGGACCCGAATTCGAACACCGTCGCGTCCGCAGCCTGCCGCTGCCGCCGCACCTCCACCGCCCCGTGGGTGCCAGAAGTTGCCACCTCGGTTCCCGAGGCCCCCGAAACCGCCGAGGATTGCTGGCCCTGCTGGTCCGGCGGGCCGCCGCCGCGTCGCCCTCCCCTCCACCACGAGAAGAGACCCATCGGGAGCGAGAGACGTGGAAAACGAGATTGGGTTAGGGTTTTGCGTGTTGGTGACGGACTTGGGGCCCGCTCGGGTGGAGGTAGACGTGAGAGTTTTATGGGCCAACCCGTGAAAACGCTTATAATTTGGGCCAGCCTTTGCACTGTTCGGCCCATTTTAGCATCGCGTATGAAATATGAAAAAGAAAATAGCAATAAAAAAAAGCAGTTTTCATATTTAGAAATGGAAAAAGTCCATATTACTCCCTCCAAGTTTGTCATATGTCCCAATAACCCCCAAACTAACATTTGGTTCAATTTACTCCCTCCAACTATTTAAGTTGATCCAACCAACACCTTAGAGAGATTTTTATTTTTTGTTTCTCAATGTACAAATTATATTTTAGTTTCAAATTTCGTGAGGCGATAGAGGTGTATTTTGTGTTAGAAAAATGTACTATGAAATTTTCATCATTATGTTTTATATGATATTGTATCTCTAATGTTAATTTATTATTAAATTTCCTAAGCTATCAAAATAGTGGCAAAAAGTTAAGATATATTTTTCTAACATAACTTATGATGTTCTCTATCATATCATAAAATTTGATATTAAGACTCAACTAATACGTGGAAAAAAAATAGCAAATCATGTTAAGAGGTAAACTAGACCAACTGAAATAGTTGGAGGGAGTAAATTAACCAAATATAAGTTTAGAGATAATATGGACATATGTCAAACTTGAGGGGAGTAATTTGGACTTTTTCTTGAGAAATCCTGAAAGAGTAATAGACTTAGCTTATGTTATTTTCTTTAGTTTATGTCATACTTCTCCCTTTTATCTGTTCAGCCGCTGAAAACTCCGTGTGAAACTTTCGGCGTGGCTAGCGCCCGGACGTTCGAACGCTAGCCCCGTCCGTACACACCGCTTGCCCTGCTTGTCAAGCTTATTTGTTCTTCGTCTGCCCGCCTATTGCACTGCTATTGTCATGCTTGCTTTCGCCGCTACTTCTTTGCCCATGCCCTACACCCTACGCCTTTTGCCCTCCTGCTGCTGCACGCCCACACCTGCTGCTGTGCTTGCGCGGACCGCCTTCGCCTGCGCTCGCTTTTCCGCGCCTGCTGATGAAAACACTTGCAATATGAAGCACTAGCTGCAACACATGTCTAAAACAGATTAAATATTTGAAACATATAAAACGTACGTCTGAAACATATTAAACATACGGAGCTCAACACCGACATGGATTTCGATGCCACGGAGTGGTGCGGAGGTAATTGGTGCGGAGCTTATTAACAACATGAACCTCGACAGTGGCCTTGGCAACCGAACGGAGCGCGGTCGTGGCGGGAGCACGGCGCGGGCGGGGACGCGCGATACGGGCGAGTGGCACGGGCAGGGGCTCGCGGCGTGCCACGCAGGGGGGCAGCCCGGGCAGGGTGGACGTTAGCATTACCGCAAAACTTAGCTTTGTCCGTTCAATTTCTAAAAAAAATGTAAACAGTAAGAAATTGATAAGGAAGTACAAATGGGCCGGGCCGTGAGAAACACATATGTTTGGGCTAAGCATTTAATCACACTTTAGCAGCCCAGTATGTCGAGGTCCAGTATATATGATGAGGGGAAAATAAGAAAAAGGCGGGAATCACATCGATGGCATAGGCGCATTGCCAGCGAACGGCGAACGGAATCGCGCCTCCCATCCTCTGCATTCCCCAAAGGCCAGCTCCACCGCGGCGCCACCGCTCCTATAAACCATCCGCTCCCCGCAGGCGCGCTTTCCCCGCGACAGCCTGAGCAGCCATGCCGGGGAGGCGGGCGATCGAGGTCCGGCTGCTGCCCGGCGGCGGCGGCGACGCCGTGGCGCCCAGGTGGCGCATGTCGCTGCTGGAGAACACGTTCAGCGGGTTCCTGCAGGGCGCTGGCGCCGACGCCGCGGCGAGGACCGTGTTCGCGGAGGGGTCTCTGTTCAGTCCGTTCCTGTTCGGCAAGTTCTTCGACCCGGCCGACCCGTTCCCGCTGTGGGAGTTCGAGTCCGACGTGCTGCTCGCCGCGCTCCGCCGCGGCAACGCCAGGACCACCGTCGACTGGGCCGAGACCGACTCCGAGTACTACCTCAGAGCCGACATACCAGGTACGAATTACGATCGCTGCCAGCTCCATGCTTTTCACCTGGTTGTGCACACTGTTCATGGATTAATGGATCCTTGTGAAAGCTTGGAAATGGTGTTAGAACACCGCACAGAAACAGACATCAATATTCAGTAGAGTCTCTATTCAATATTCCTATGAAAAGTTCAGATTGTAAACTGATATGAGATGATTTCCATTTAGTAGTTGTAGGTTAGATTTAGATCTTTGCGATATTATGCGGCATCGGTTCCGTATAGTTTCTACTTGTGGTCTTGCGTGTGCCACCAGCTAATGCGTTACTGAGCCGGCGTGACAGCAAATCGCATTGGCAGTGTGCCGTCCATCATCCACACTTCAGTATTCAGGTGCTTAATGCTTTACAGTTTTCCAGAGAGATCTTTTGCAACTAGCAGTAGCTAGAGCTAGAGGATGAAAGCAACCATAAGTCATGTGTGCGTCCTCCTCCTCCTTTTCCCCACACTAGCTTCCCTTTGCTTTATCGTTTACAGCAACGTTAGAACACTGCTTTTTTCACAAGAAATATTCGTTGCGTTTGCGTGCGGCACACCGCAATCCACATCGATCATCGTGGACCGTGGTGAAAGCGTAGCTAGAAATGCAAGCGCAGAGCAAAGAGTGTTCGTGACGATTGCCAAGACCAAGAAACCAGCATCGTTCTAGGTCAAAAAGATGGATTTTTTATTTTGCCCTCTCGGTCTTTATTCAGGTGGAAGGAGATGCGACGTGGAGGTGAGCGGGGACGCGATGAAGGTGATCGACATCAGCGGGCTGTGGCGGGCACCGCCGCCAGCGGACGGTCGGGACTGGCGCGCCGGCCGGTGGTGGGAGCACGGCTTCGTCCGGCGGGTGGAGCTGCCGGAGGACGCGGAGTGGAGGAAAGTGGAGGCATACTTTGACGACGGCGAGGGGTCCCTGGAGATAAAGGTTCCCAAGACCGCCGATGATGATGCCCACCACGCCACGGCCTGACGCCGAGAATCGGAACCTCGCCGCCCCCATTGGAGGACAGCCAGTATTATTCTTCGAACAGTCGGCAAAAATGGAAAACGACGGCATAATCTTCGTGATTGATATTAAACATTTGCAAGATACGGAGCACGCAGAGAAGGGAGCAAACAAAGATCATGGCAGCATGTTGCATGTGCCTTAATGCTTGCAGTGTCCCTGAAAAACGATGTATGTAATATGTTCTTCAGTGCCAACTGTTGAATTGGCTAGCTAATTGGCAGTGTCACTGTCGCCTTTGGTCATCCGTCCTTCAAATCCGGCATCGAGACCGCCGTATAGATGATTCCGGGATCGATAGATAGATGAATTCGTGAATGAATATATATATAAATTCACAGGTCGCGGCTTTCAGAAAGGAGGATTCAGATTCTCCCGTTTCTTTCGGCCTGAAGGCTCTCTATCCCCCGCGTCGCTTTTATCCCCCAATCAGGCACATGAGCATCAGAGCTCTGACGGAAGACCGGCGCTTTCGGTTAGTCAGGATATTCTTCAGAGAAATCATTAGCCAAACATATTTCAGTGATTGATCACGGTCTGTTGTAAAATAAACATCTTTCTGTGTGCCCCAGGCAGCTGTATGACAGACTGACAGACACTTGCTTCTCTTTTCCCCAAGAAGAACAGACACTATTTGTTTCAGTGCAGACATCTTTCCGCGATGCTCTTATCGTACTCGAATGCATTACAGTTCGCGCTGGTGTGGTCCAGCAGTCGACAGGTGTTCTTCACAATTCCTTGTCCCTTCCATGCGCATCGCCAGCAGCTCATTGCTGCAAGGTATCTTTGACTGATCTTGACTGACAACTGACCAATGAGGCCATGCACACAAGAGCAAGACACGAGCAGCGCACACGTGGCGCCGGAGGATCGTTGGATCGATCGGAGGCTGAATTCCATGTAGTTTCCCTTCTGTCGCGCAACCAATCGCTCGTCAAGATCAACAGCAATAATACAGAGATACGACAAGGCGTCGCGACAGGCACACCCCAATTATGTTCCAATCATGGCTCCCGGAGTGACGAGAACAACAGGCTCTTCGTCAGCGCCCGGAGATGCCCGCTCGTGTGGATTTTACCTCCTTTAGAATTGGCCTGCTTGCTTGTTGGGTTCTCGGAGCGCCCGCCCTCCGGCATAGAAAATGGGGTCCGGAGAATGACAAGGTGAGGTAAGTTTATTCAGAGTTCTTCGTCCGTTGCTCTGAACGGCCAAAAGAGTCCGGGCGGCTTTGGCTGTTCCGCCGTCGCCTTCTCAGTTCTCACCGGCGTAAAATTTATTCTAGTTTTAATAAAAGGAGGTGCTGCAGCCTAGCGACAGACTAATACACGTCATAAACTCGTGTCGTTAGGCTGAACAATTTGACGACAAAAAGAAGAGTTGGTTAAAACGATGCTGCCGGAAACTCTGAAGTCTAAACAAAATTCGGTATTTCAGGATGACTCGGGTTCTGTTTTCTGCCTTGGTATCGAGTGTTTTGTAGCTTCATTTGAGTAGGAGTAGTCACTAGTCAGTTGCAATCCAGTTGAGAGGAATTTGTGACCAGCTCCATATACCATATTCTGCAGTTCAGGCACGATCAGACAAGGGCGTTAAAAGAATAAATCATATTGTCTTTACCCCAATAGAAAGCGTCCAAATTGCTATCCAATTTCCTCACCCAAGGAGATGAACTGAGGATCTTTCACAGAGCTCTTATAAATACCCCCAAGTCATTCCAACAAGCAAACCAAAACTACCACCAAGCACCTCAACCCTGCTAATTCTCTGTCTCAGTAAGAAGTCGCCTTTGCAATAGCTTGCTACCGAACTCCAAAAGCAACTAGCAGACTGTCTCCAGTAACCGTGACTTAAAATACAAGATCCATTCATTCTTTTGATAGTGCTATAGGTAAATGGTTCAATAACTATTTTTGGTCTTCTCCAATAATAAGATTTAAAAGACAACCCTTTTTGCAAATAGGTCTTCAGGAGAGAGGATACTCAGATTTGGGTTATGCCTCTCTTGACACCCAAAATGGGTCTTCCATTTAGATACTCCGTTAGAGGCTATAGATATTGTGTTGAAGACCCTTTTTAGATTTGGGTTCCGTAATATGTCTCCTGTCAGAGACAGCCTTAGGGATTGCTTCGTTCCACGTCTCCTGAGATGATCCGAAGCCGCTCAATCCGAGGCCGACAAGTGTCTCGATCCTAGCCAGCCCTAACTATTTGGATTGTCATCCCAAAATCCTGTAGCAGGTTGGCACGTCCATTCGACGAGGTGGTGCGGACCATGGAGCAGGAGCTGAGGACCGGCGGCGGCGGCAACCTCAGGGCGGCGCACAGCTCTGTCTGCTTCTCCGGCGGGCTCATCGACGGCCCACGCATCCAGCAGCTGCTCCTCCACTGCGCAACGGCGCTCGAGTCCAACGACGTCACGCTGGCGCAGCAGGCCATGTGGGTGCTCAACAACATCGCCTCCTCGCAGGGGGACCCCAGCCAGCGCCTCACGTCGTGGCTGCTCCGCGCGCTGGTCGCGCGCGCGTGCCGTCTGTGCGGACCGGCCGGCGCCACCCAGTCTGCCGCCGCCAGGGCGCCCGCGCCTTGGGAGCGGGCCATGTCGGTCACGGAGCTCGCCGAGTACGTCGACCTCACGCCGTGGCACCGCTTCGGCTTCACGGCCTCCAACGGCGCCATCCTCCGGGCGGTGGTGGGCAGCGCCGCGGTGCACGTCGTCGACCTCAGCGTCACACGCTGCATGCAGTGGCCGACGCTCATCGACATGCTCTCGAAGCGGCCCGGGGGCCCGCCGGCGCTCCGCATCACCGTGCCTTCCGCCCGCCCCGCCGTTTCGCCCCAGCTCGACGTGTCGGACGAGGAGATCGGCCTCCGCCTGGCCAACTTCGCCAAGTCCAAAGGCGTGCAGCTGGAGTTCAGCGTCATCAAGTGCGGGTGCCCGAGCCCAAGCCCGACGTCGTCGCCTCCAAAGAAGCAGGCGGCGCTCTGCCAAGACCTCGCGTCCGTGCTGTCCGACCGGCAGTCGCTGGGGCTACGGGACGGCGAGGCGCTCGTCGTCAACTGCCAGAGCTGGATCCGCCACGTCGCGCCGGGTTCCCGGGACGCGTTCCTCGACGCCGTCCGCGCGCTGAACCCGTGCCCTGGTCACCGTGACCGACGAGGACGCGGACCTGGACTCGCCGAGCCTGGCCACCCGCATCGCGGGGTGCTTCGACTTCCACTGGATCCTGTTCGACGCCCTGGACACGTCGGCGCCCAGGGACAGCCCGCGGCGGGTGGAGCACGAGGCGGCCGTGGGCCGGAAGATCGAGAGCGTCGTCGGGGCCGACGACGCCGACGGAGCGGAGCGCTCCGAGTCCGGCGCGAGGCTCGCCGAGCGGATGCGGAGGAACGGGTTCGCGGCCGTCGTGTTTGACGAGGAGGCGGTGGGCGAGGTGAGGCGCCTTCTGAGCGAGCACGCCACCGGGTGGGGCGTGAAGCGGGAGGAGGACATGCTCGTGCTCACCTGGAAGGGCCATGGCGCCGTGTACACCGGCGCCTGGACGCCCAACTAAGTTTAACCATCTCATTAGCGATCAAAACTGCTGTTTAGGATGCATGCCAATGCCACCATCACCATGGCATGAAATGAAAGTAGGCTTCACTGCTGATTAGCTCGAAAAGGATCATCAAAGAAGTAACATAGAAACAAACAGTCATAAGAACTTCAGTCGTTTTCGTGCGTCCATGGTCACGGCGAATGAACGGACCAGGACTCGAGAGTAGTGAAGAACTCATGTAACATGTAGAAGTATCATGAACCTATCAAGTTGTATCACGGAACTCATTTCACAAAATAATACTTTGCAACAAGCAGGCCAGCCTATCACCCGGTAGCTAGTTTTTTTTTTAATTATTCAACATAGTATTTGAGTTTTTTTTATATAATTGCACATTTGTTTATTTTACTAGGTTATGTGCCCATGCGTTGCTACGGGACAATTAAATCTTTTGTACTAAAAAACATATGGATCGCACGATAAGATAACAATACTGTTAAATTAAATACCGATGTTAAAGTGACATTTAATTCAAAAAGCAAAGTTCGTGAAATTAACACAGTCACGGAGAGCGCGGCGTCGCAGGTTCACAAACTACTGTATGGACTTTTTTCGTGATATGGCTAAGATAATATTTTATATCGGCAGAAAGAATTCTCCGATATCCATTTCTTTCATGCGCCAATAAATCCATGAATAAGTTCCGCTGCATCTCTATATAATCCTGTACACACAGGTTCGAGTATATATGTAAATATTAGTGCCTGTCACATGGATAATACTGCATGTCTTAAAAAATCTCTCATAAAATTTTAAAACAAAGTATGTTATACTCACCGTATAAATATGTGTGGCTTTAGGACTATTCCACACATACATATATTGTAGAATAAGATATCCATTTGAGTGTCTGTTCCAAGATGTTGAATTAGGTGTTGTAATTCTTAATTTCGACATATTTTTCAGGTCAAGACAACCAATGGTGACACTTTTCTTAGTGGTGCATAATTTTATAGTGCACCTTTTAACTATCTGAGTAAGGACAAGTTAGCACTGCAAAGGCTCAGAAAAGCTACTAAGAAGGCCAAGGTTGAGTTTTCCTCCATTATGCATACTAAAACCTATGTCCCCGTTTATCATTGTCGATGCTTTTCATGCAAAGCAATTCAACATTACCATGATCAGATATAAGTTTGAGTCTCTTGTGAGCAATCTCATAGAGGGACACTCATTCTTTATGTGATCTGCCTCAAGGATATTGGCAGGACGATGGACCCATGTTGGAATGTCACACAAAAAGTGTCCACGTTTTGTGTATGATTTATTTCCCATGAATACATACGGGTACTATGATAACACTAACTACACTAAATAAAAGATTAGAGAGAATTTGCATTGCCTCCAGAAGGATTTATTTATTAAGTTCTTTGGACTCTGCATGTAATTTTGAAATATCTGTTTGCATGTCTTACCTCGTATCCTAATTCAAAATTTGGTAGTTTAATTAGAATATTTAGGTAATTGTATATATATAATATTCAATACAAGAATAATCTATGCATGATTTTCTTGAAAGATTTCTACAGTGTAAAGACATCTTTGTTTTTCATGCATGCCCGTGCTAACACTACGATAAAAACAAAGGACAATATATCAATTAAAAAATAAAAATAAAACTCATGCTCAAAGTCAAAGAGATAAATTATGGATGCTTGAATTTTGTCATCCATTATCTACCGGTGTGCCTATAAAATAGACTGAATAAACAATTAAACATAGATAGAAAACTAAATTAATGAAAGAATCATTACAAAACATCAATCATCTCATAGCTTCGGACAATATCGCAAATCTACTAAAAACTGTAACCGTGCCCTCACCTCAAACATTGTCCAGATAAATGGATTACAATGAAAGAAATGGATATCGGAGATTTCTTCTTGCCAATATAAAACATTATCTTAGCCGCATCACGAAAATGTCTATAAAGTAGAGTTTGTGAGCCTGCGACGCCGCGTACTCCGTGACTGTGTTAAATTCATAAACTTTGCTTTTTGGATTAAATGTCACTTTAACGTTAGTATTTATTTTTTATAGTATTGTTATCTTATCGTGTGATCCGTGTGTTTTTAGTATAAATTGTTAGTTATCCCACAGCAACGCACGGGCACGCTATCTAGTATAAATATAAAGAATGAAAAAGACGATAAGAAAGATTGCCATTAGACCAACTCCTTTTGATTCTTTACAAATACATCTGAAAGTTAACATGTGGGCTGTGGGCATCAAAGCAAAACAACAAAAAAACATGGATTCGACCATAAGTAGCATTTGCTCTCCTTTTTTTTGAAAAAAAGAAAGGTACTGCAGAGTTACAGGATTGTCAATCTTATCAGCACCATCAATTTTTGGCAATTGTAGAACTCAATCAAGACACCCATTGAAGTGCTACATCCCTAGCTCGTAACCCAATTAAGAGTAAGTTCTCGCAAGCCTAGCTCCCCAGCCATTATTAAACTACATGAAGGGCTCCCAAATAAAGACCACTATTTGAAAAAAGAGTAAATGATTATTGTTTCCTTCCATGCATGATTGTTTCCTCCCATACATGATTGTTTCCTTCCATGCATGATTATTGTTTCCTTCCATGCATGATTGTTTTCTTCCATGCATGATTATTGTTTCCTTCCATGCATGTGGTCTCAGGTGATCGATTTGTTTCCTTCAAAGCAGGCGGGGATCGCAGGGATGGTAATTTCTTTTTCTATCGCGCGGGGTATCGCACGGGGTGGACAGACGGACGAATCAAAACAAATGTCGCACCAAAAGATGTCCACGCTTTGTTCTTTTTAGTTGTAGGAGATTGTAATTGATCTCTCTCCATGCCTCACTACTGTATTCATGGCATGAGCTCCATATACAGTCGCACGCCAACCTATTTATTGGTTTAAAACTATTGTTGTTTTTCCCTCTTCTTTCTTCCCCCCTACCCTCTAAGGTTTTGCAATCTATATCTTATAATTTCAAACCCCACTAAGTTCTATCTCGATATGTAAGTCGTTGTTCACCTTAGCAGTCTACTATCAAATACAATTATAGTCCACTAGCATATGCAATTATGATATACATGTCAGCATAGACACACCACTAACATGCATTTAGTTGTCCATATCAGCATGTCACACCATCCACTATAATTAATTCATAATAGTTTGTCCCTTCATATAAGTAATTATATGTAGTCTAATTTTATTCTAAATCATCTGCAATTCCTATAGCAACGAGCGGGGTATAGTCCTAGTTTTCACCAAAGCTAAATCAAAGGAGCCTTTCCCTCTTGTAGATGTCATTCCTCAATAAAACTACCCTCGAAGTCTCTTGTGATTTGTTTAGTTTCTTGGACCTTTTGTAATTTTAAATTTTGGACTAGCTTGTACCTTGTCTTGAAGATCTCCAGACTCCCTCCCACAGTTCCCCCCTCCCAATCCTCATTGGATTCATCACAATGACATTCATATTTGCTAGATTCACTACTGCCTCAAGAATTTGTGTTGGCCGAACCCATCGCCATGCCACCTCAAGCTTTCCCAAACAAATTGTGGAACCATAATTGATGCCAGTGAGCTCCTAATCCCATGCCTACTACCCAATGCCACTCTACCTTACTATCAATGGACATGTTGGGACAATGTTTGTTTCTACTTGTGATCGACTTTCACGAAGAGAAAAGCTAAACAATCTCAGTCATGCTGCTCACAAGCTTCTCATACATGTGGATCAGAGAATCAATCGATCAATTACACATAAGATATCAAAAGTCGATATGCTTTTCACGTTTTTGTTGTAATCTTGGTTGACGCAACCTGATCTTCTCCTAGGTCACCATAACCATTGAAAATATGTGAATTAATTAATCTAGATCCTTTGATGATCATAATATTATGTGACACTGGTTGTTCTCTTTTTTATTAGTCGTATTTGATATGATATTTCTTTTGATTAGAACGTTATATGCACTAGTTATAGATGAACATGTTATAATCTAGGCCCACATGGTTTGATATCGTAGATGTTCTCATTTCACCAATTAAAATAGTAAAATGTTGGCCTGGTGAGAATGACATGACTCTTCTATAACTTCGGTTTACTTAAGATGATAGTATATATGCATTTTACACTTACTTTTCATGTAGGTGTTTCTATAAATCATATGGAAATCAAACTACTAATTGTTCATTTAGCTTTTACTAATTGTAATGTATATAGATTCTGTATTAGTTATTTTTTTTCTATGAAATCAAGTAGTATTTTTCTCACAATTTTTATTAGAAAATTTGCACTTCTAGTTGTGTTTTACATGGATTTTTATTATTTATTTCCCGATTCATATAAACATAATTCGTTTTTTTATATTTTCCCCAAATAATTAGTTATCCTCGTCGGAGAATTCTCCTCATCGTTTGGAAAATTTGGAACGAGCACAACAACCGTATTTTCAGAGGCCATCTCCACATCAACACAAACTGGCTAGCAAGATCATTGAATCTTCGTGTGCTTTGGTTGCCATTGGTGTATTGTGTAATAATTAATTCAATCGCTAAGGGTTAGTAGTTTGTACTAGGTCGTTTTTCTCCTTCTCGCTTAATGAAAACCATAAGTTGCACGTTCTGGAAAAAAGTTCAGAGTTGTGTATCAAATTCTGTCAGAAAGAAACATGCTTTTGTTTTGAATTTATAAATGGGCTGAAAGTGTTCTCTACAAAGGCCCAAATTGTGATTGGGCCTAACGTTCTGGTTGCTCCGGATTATCTAACTCCCTATCAGGCCGTAATGAGGACTGAGGACGACGATCCGATCTATGACCGCCTCGGCCGCCGCGCTCGCCGCCGGCGATTGACCGGCACGCGGTACGGCTGGTCTGGCGCGTCTCCGTAGCACTGGCCGCCATCGCCACGCTCTCACTCTTACACCTCGTGCGCCACGCATCCATCTACTGCTTCCCCGCGTCCCACCCCTTGCGCTCACCATCTCGCTCGCCCCCTTCCCGCGCACCTCCTGCGACGCCGCCTCGCGCCGAGTGGCCCCGCCCGACCGCCGCCTCGCTAAGCTGCGCGCCTCCCCGCGCTGGAGACGCCGTGCCGCTTCCCTGGCCACGTCCGCCTTCCCACCGCTCCGCGGCCTCGGCCTCCTCGCGGCCCCTTCTCGCGTCCTCTGCCTCGCCGCGGGCGCCGGCCACGCCGTCGACGCGCTTCGCGCGGCGGGGACCTGGGACGCCACAGGGATCGACCTCGTCGACTTGCCGCCGCTCGTCCGCCGCGCGGATCCGCACCACCTCCCCTTCTCCGACGGCGCCTTCGACCTCGTGTTCTCGGATGACCCCACGGCGATCTCCGGCGCGCTCTTCCCGTCCCGTCTCGCCAGCAAGGCTGAGCGCGCCGTCCGCCGCGGTGGCGGCATTGCGCTTGCGTTCGACCAGGAGATCGAGACTGCCGCCGTCGCCACACTATTCAAGAGATCGCGCGTTGTGGATTTGAAGGATGTCACCTTGGATGGCTCCCAGGTTAGGCTGCTGATCATGCAGAGTAATGGCACTACTTCAGACCCATATTGATCCGTGCTCATTCTCTTCGTGTATTGTCATATCTCAGTGATGCTACCCAATGAATTTTAGGAAGGTAGTTGCGAATATGAATTATGATCAGTATAGATGATGGTCCAGAAAAATACAAAAAATGTTCGATATTATTGCCTGCTTTGCTGTGCAGTACTGCAGTGTTTCCTGGCCATACCATGTTATGCTGCTGCAAACTCCTCGCTCCAGAATCAGATAGTACTTTTTATGAACACAATTGTGCTAAGTGCTACTTACTTTGCAAAGCACAAAGCACAACAGAATGTCCTCTCTGGCCCTGAGTCATTGGACAGCTTGACTGCTTGAGAGCCCACCATGATACTTCAGAATCGTGAGTATTTCTAGGCATGGAATGCACCCCAGTGTAAATTCCTGTCATTCTACCTGCCGCCGTTTCCCTCAGTCAGACATTTTTGTAGGAAGGATATGTATGCCTCTCTGTTGGCATTTGATTGTTCTTTTCTTCTATAAGTTGTGGGAATGATATATATACCGAATCCACAGCAACCACCAAAACAAAGCATCGTAGATTTTCGGCCATGCAGATGCTTCCTAAGAACTATTTATATGCAGCCTGTTAGATGAGGTCCTGGCTAAATGGCCGCTTGACAGATGCTACGGTCTAGCTAGCTAAGTGATGACGATTAACAAGTGCATTGCAATTGGTTGAGAATAACTAATCACCTTTTCATATTCAGATTCTACATTTTATGGGAGGTGCGAACAAGTCATATTATGAAAATTCGAAAGCACCAGTTTATAACTGAACTAGCATAGCGTGTATTGTAACTTTGTGAGATTGTGTTATGCTAGGCTTAGTTTAAGCATTTGCATACACGTACTTAAGTGTTCATTAGGCAGACACTTCAGTATAGTTGAATAGGAAACAAAATTGGGTAATGTGCATTTTTCAACCCTAAACCTGCGTATGAGTTTGATTTTCTGCCTTAAACTACAAAACCGGGTATTGGACACTCTCCAACTATAAAAACTGGATAAATTTGGTCCTTTAGCTGCTTTCAAAGGTGGTTTTTTTTATATAATAAAAAAAACTAGTTTAACCTCTATAAATTCATAAGCTATTTTTAAATCAAAAAAATATGAAACTAATACCATTTTATCTAAAAATGGTATCTAACTATTGGTAATCTATGTACAGTTATTTAGAACTTATTTATTTTGGTTCCTATTGTTTTATTGCTTGTGGTCTGGTTTATTAGACACGTGAACAAATCAGATTCAATAACTCCAAATGGAGCACGAAAAGATAAATAACATTTTAGGGAAAGAATAGTATTAGTTTCATATTTTTGATTTAAACTAAATAATTTATGAATTTGTAGTGATTAAAATGGATCTTTATTATTTTAGAAAATAGAAAAACCATCATTGAAACTAGCTAAATGACCAAATTTATCCAGTTTCAACGGTTGGAGGGTTTTTCCAATACCCGATTTCATAGTTTATGGTTGAAAACTGAACATCCATGCAAGTTGAAGGTTGGAAAATACACTTAACCCAACAAAATTTATGAAAGCAACATACTTCCATAGTTCCACTTGTGAAAGAAGATGCGCTTCTTTGGACAATTCCATGCAGTGTCATGTATTCCATCTACTCCTACAACCCTCGTTTGGGATACTGGAGTTTATAGCTGATCTCCTACTGCTTTTGCGTCAATGGAGTCCCTCCTAATTTTTATAGACATGGAAGGAAGGAGGAGTGTCTCTAGAGGTTGAGGATGAATGGAGCCCCCTCTTTATGATTTTCTAGATCCGCCATTGGCTGAGCTAATTAATGGTTGACTTGTTTGTGTGCGAGTAAATTATCTGCCTAATTGAACCCTCTCTAAAATCTTAAATGATAATCGATGTAGTGTAGCAGAAAGTTGAAGCGGTTTGATGGTTATCTTGTGCAGTTGCAATAGGAACTGCACCTGAATGCTGGATTGGTTGGCTCTCCTCTATCATTGTTGGTCACGTGTCTTTCACCGTGAAAAAGAGTAACTTCATGGTGGGCTTCAGGGCTTGGAACTAGCAGCACGTCTGTTCCTGATGCAACATTCCCTGGCAAGTGCAACCAGCAGTAGAATGGACTTTTGTTTACAGTATCTACTACCATCATTACAGGTCAATTCAGGTGAACTATTCAGCATTGACAAACTGGGGTGAATGTTTATTCCTGCCGGCCAAACTTTGATGGGCGACATCTCAAGGCCCCGCCGGCGACGACTTGGCCTGGGCCTATAGGCCGTAGCCCGGCAAAGTAGCTTGCTGTGCCTCCATCCGGACGCACAGCGTCGCGCAATCGGCAGGCCCACCACACCTTGCCGCCAATTATAAAACCTCGTGCCCTGTCACACTGAAATTTACACGAGGAGACAGAAACAACAGTAGGCACTGTTGCGTAAGAAAATTTTGCGCACTTGAACAGTCATAGCACCTTATAGATCGAAAAGTCCTGCAAGATTTTGGTGTCCTTCATCACAAAATCCCTTAGCTCCCATTTTTATATTAAATCGAGAAATTGGGTCAAGTCATCTTGTTTTGACAGCATTTTTCCTTCATTTATGCAGTTTCTCGTAGAAACGCTCTCTCCACACGGGTTTTTTTTTGTGAACCTAAACTACACACTGCCTTTGAAATGTCCATACACGATCGATGAGCATGCGCTATATATAATTCCTCAGTCCTTACCCTGCCGATCAGCAAAGGGCAAAGACGGAGCAAAGCTGAACAACATGCAGGGTCCCCGTGCTGTGTGCTGTGTGCTGTGTGTCTGCAGAGCCCTCCGATCGTGCGCCTGTCGGCCTGGGGAAAACGCCGCGCGCTGCAGTCGCTGCTGGGCTGGCCATCCCATCAGACCGCGCGCGTGCGAGACGGCGCTATTCGGCAGCCGCCGGGACAGTAGCCAGTAGAGCGCTGTGGCGAGACGGCGACCCAGCGACGGCAGGGATCCCCCGGGGAGATCGGAGGCGACACCGCTCGCCGGCTAGCTGTTGGCGGCAGGCATCCGTACGTGCATGCATCGCGTCGCGACAGCGTGTCCAACCACCTCTGCTGTGCATGTGCACGGCTAGCAGCGCCAGCCCGAGCATAGGCTCCGGCTGTAGGCGATCACTGATGGTGCACGTACGGTGGAGCAGTACTACGCGCGTGCACTGTTGGATGTGCCGTGGCCGGAACGGATTCCTGGTCGATGTGTGTTTCGCCGGCTCGACACGTCGTCACACGGACACGAGCGAGAGGAACGTGTCGAGTGAACTGTGCGTATAGCCCTGTGTGTAGGATCAGATCGAGGCACGCAGCTGCGGATCGGAGATGGACGGGTGAACCGCGCATAGCTGTAGGGGGGGCTTTGTTGGATGTGGTTGGCGACAAACGGGAACGCGACATGCGTGCGTGCATGAGTGCATCGCCTAACGTCGACACTGCCCTCTTCTCCCTACCCCCGTGCATGGTTGCTGGGATGACGAGGTGGCCGACCCACATGTCCCCCCTCCTCACTCCTGCACGTGCATGCACCGCTGCGCTGCACGCTCGTAGCTCGGCAGATGAGATGATGGATCATTCTACACGTACATGCACTTTTGTTTTGTATCATGCAAGATCATTGTTGTACAACAGTAGGCCAACAGTAGTGTATAAGCTTAGTCATAAGTGCTGGAAAAATAAGCATATATGTATGTACAAAAGTTATTCTCTACTTCAGTACCATGCAAATATGTCCTTAAATAAGTATAGCCACCATGACAAGATGCACTGTCGTTCATTAACCTAGACGAGTGCTTCTTCAGATCTCTAGACTCTAAAATTACATACTCTCTCCATCCCATAATACTTGATCCTTTATAGTATTTAAAATCCCTTTCAAATTACTTGTCATTCTCACTTTTCAGTGCATATTTCTCTTTTTCTAACACACACTCTCTCTCCTTCTCATTTCCAGTGCACTACATATTTTACTCTCATCCATATTTTCCGTGCCCAAACCTAAAAGGTCATATATTATGAGATTGACGGAGTACTCCCTTGTGCCAAAAAGATTGCACTTCTGGATCTGCTCCGAATCAAACTATTTTAAGTTTTGATCCCAAATAGATATATTATGCATATATATATACAATGATCAATTAATCACTACAACAGAACAAACGATCCATGCCAGACTATGACTGTTGGTTACATTGAAACCAGCAATGATAATACAAACCTATATATCAAGCCGATTGTAGCCACGAACCGATAATTAATATATGTATGCTTTCACTTGTTTTGCACAAAAAAAAAAGGTTATATCTTTTTTCATATGAAATCAGATCAAGACAAATTGTAGAGTTCAAAGACATCTAAAACTGTGTAGTTGACAACTTTTAAATTTGAAATGGTTTATATGTTTCAATATTCAATATAAATTCTCAGATTGGATTTGTGAGATGGTTGACAATGTTGAATGGAGATAAAGTCAACATCAAAGTTGTGGTACTCAATGAGATCTACAGATTTACAGTTAACAACTTTTTCATTTGAGATCATTTAGAGTGTCAAATATACAATATAAGATTTATAAATATGTAGTTAAAAGAATAGCATCGGTGATATAGTCACATATGTTGCTTAGCCAAAGATGATATGCTCACTTGAGAGAACGTTGAGTTCGAATCAGCAAGGTCTAGAACTAGCAATGATGGATAAGCCCATCACTCCTTAATGAAGAACGTGCAAAGCACACTTTTGAAAAAAAAAAAAACAGATAGAAGTATATTTTTTATAAAAATTTAGTCGAACTAAAGATTATTTAACCTGGTACCGCAGCTATAGAAGGTCACTCATTTTTTGGGACAGAGGGGGTACATATTCATAGCTCCAAGCTTTTGAACATTCTGAATTGTTTGGTCCTAGATGGCAGGGGCAGGACTTTGTTAGGGCTAAAAGGGCCAGCATGGCCTTCCCACCCCGAACCACCACCAATGTCTGTACTTTTTTTTAGC